TTTGAAAATAGAAAAAGATCTTAAAATGTATACTTTATTTCATTATTACCTTAAAAACATTCGGAACCTAGATCTGCCTTCTAAGGCTTCAGCCATCGTCATTGATATGTTGACATCAATAGCGAAAATTCACAAAATGTTCAGAACTTCAACTTATTGGGAGATATTAGAGAATTGATAAGTTTATTTCAGAAATGATAGACGTATTATTTTTGAATATGTATAGTATGTACAAAAGATGTTGTAATACATATAACTGCCCTTGCGGTTAAATATGCAATAAATGGTAGAGAAGCTCCCTGAAAAAAAAAACAGCTGGCAATTAGCATATGATGTGGTATTATCCCTAAGAAGGAAGCCGACATTTTTCACGGCAACACATGTCAGTCCGATCTAACAAATTAACATAAAACCAAATGCAAAAGTGTTTATAGTATGTAGATTTAATCAGCGAAAGCGACCGCGCAAAGGCAGAGATTAATCAGTTAAATAAACATAATAAAAGGCAAAGCCCACAACGCGACTTTTTGCGACATTTTGATAAATACCAAATCAAAATAATGCGTAAAAACAATTAATCACGATTAAAGTGGATGAGGGGCAGCATTACAACAAAGCCGAAAACGCAAATGCCGAGTTAATGAGGCTGGGGCCCGTCAAGGGCAGGGGTAGGCATAAAAATTTCACTTGTCGAGGATTAGTCGATTGGAATGAGGCGTTGATGATCGATAAATGCTAAAAGCAAACATGGAAGGCCACATGCCGAGCGAGAGGGGAGGTGGCTGAGCAGTCGAACAAGTGTTTGCAATCACACGCCATTTTCGAATTAGTGCAGGACTAAGTATAGTAAGTAGGTTTGGTGTTGGCCAGAGTAGTAGTGGACATAAAAATTTATCAAAAGTCATGCCAAAATGCTTAACACTTTGCCACATTAGCGTCAAATGGAACACGCCCCCCATAAACTTGCGGGCTAACTCTAATTTAATGCAAATGTAATAAATCCGCATAAATGCGATTTGGTAGCAGGCCCAAAGGGACCATCATCAGTACAGACTTACAACCCCCAAAACGATCCAAAGCTGCTTTCTATTTGTTCTTTGACTTTCGCGTTACGCATAATTTAAAGCCAAGCGTATGGCAAGCGCCGTAGAATCAACATTCCCTGATTTGACTTTTGGGCCAAACGTCATTTATATTCATAGTTAAATAAAAATGTGGGAACCACGGCATGTGGCTCTCGCACCAGCGAAGGGTGCCAGTGTTTTTGCTCGAAATTGTGGCCAACCCTTTTGCCATATACTACATACTATTTGACAGCGACTTTATATGCTTAAATCCTTCATCAATTTGATTATTATTATTGTTTCGCACTTGTTGCCCCCAGGAAAATGTCTGACTTCTGTGACTCTGTCACGAATATACACGTATCTATCAATAAATACGTCTCTCATGCAATCAATTCAAATGTGATGGGAGTGTGTTAAACAAACCAGTGATTTTTTTACCTTTCAACTTAAAATTAAACTTTACGGATATTTTTTAATATTTAAGAAAATGTTTCTTAAAAGGTGGGCTTAGAGAGTTTTTGCTCAAGTCTAAACCATTTCTCCTTCAACTGTGTAAAAGACCGATTCTGTCAAAATATATGTAATGCTTTGATATTTTATTATAACATCGAAATAATATTATTATACATACATCGAATGAAAGTAGTATAACAATTATAGTTAAGCAAACAAAAATCTTTTATTGCAGAGAATCAAAAGGTTGTCCTTAGGAAAAGATACATACTACATACGTTTTGGTAACTAAAATCCTGCCCAAGAAAATATTGAATATAACACCAACCAGAAACTATTTGCCTCAAAGTATTACTCAATATATACATACGTATACATATATTTTAAATAAGACATTTTCTACATTTTAACAAATTACTCTAAAATATTTCTACGATTAATTTTAAATACAATTTTTTATTATTAAGAATAATTAACTTAAATAGAGAAAAAGGTATCTTAAATTTGGAAATCACAGTTCAAATTTCAAGTTTTACGAAATATTATTTATTATTTTTTGAACCCTGTACAACTTCTGTGTATATTTTTCTAAATATTTAGGCAGATTGACTGAAACAGATATTGCTAAAGAAAAGATAGTTTATACCAAAAAATCGTATATTGTGCATTGATTTGAAAATGAAAATAATATTAAGTATCGTGAATCAAATCCATTTCAAAATTAACTTGATTAGCATTAGCAGTCGTTTTTAGAAAGAAGCTTTCTCCATAGTATTACTAGTTGTTGAATTTCTTTTTGTTGTAATTTAGACTGATTTTTAAAAATCTTAGAACATTTTTGTTTCATATTTAAATTACAATGATTTCCTGTCACGCTATTTTATATATTTCTTTTCTGTTCTGTCTTAAGACTTTGTTTCCATAGTTTGTTAAATTTGTTACACAAATGTTGCCGGCGTCTATAAAAAATAACTATGCTATGTCTCAGATTTTCATATTTCTAGGTATTACTCTCATGAAAAAACAAATATAAAATTCAATCAAGTAAATGGAACGGCAGTAATCACTCAACTTGCAACTATTTTACAAAAGCACAATGGGATTTTTTTATTTGTTCGCAGTTTTTGTATCCTGCACTCTGATGATTTTGTTTTTAAAATATCTTAAACGGTAATCAGGAGTATCCTTAAACTTTCAACCCCATACGCACAACTTGACACACTGTTTATTGTTTAATAATCAAAATCATAGTTAAGTAACGATGGCTGACCCCAAGGGCCATATTTAGGAGCTGTAAACACGTGCAACAAACCCACAAGCCGCAGAGTGGTGCGTGTGGTTGTGGGGGGCTGGCGATGATGACGACGACGATGACGTCGCACACGCCGCAATCCTTAATTGCGCGTGAAATCAGTGGATGGCCAATAAGGAAGGGGGTGGTAGAATGTTTGACGCCTTGTTAAAATGCAACTAAGCAGCTTGTGTGTCGCATTAACAAAACAGCGTTTAAAAAAAAACAAATGTAATGTTATACATTTATACTGGGGTGAATCTAAAGGCGTAGATGATGTGATTTGGTGGCAAATCAATTCAAATTGATGGATGATGGCTTAAATAACACGTCAAATAACATGAAACACAATATGCTTTTACACTTTACATTAATATGGGGGCAACAAATTGCTTTGGCACTGAATTTTAATCACACATATGTATATGAATGTAACAAGTGAACCGCAATATTTTCGAATGTACGTTTCTTGTTGGATTCCCGCCAACATTTGAAATATTTGTGGCATCTGAAAGCTGCTTGCTTTGCAACTCGAAACAGCTGTTTAGGGAATATGGGCTTTAAAACCGATACGATAACATAACTTCATTATGGGTAAGCTGTGTTTAGTTTTTATATTTTGTACAGCACTAGCCATGCAAATCGCGCTATATCACACATAAAAGCTGTTTGCTTTGCAACTGGCACCAGCTGTTTAGGATAATCAAATATTTTACTTCACAATAATAAAATTAATTCATACTGCTGTGCAATGAATAAAATACCGTCTTCATATTTTTTATTCTAAGCCACTTTAGAACTAAATCCAACAATTTTGAATGCGGATACGTTGGTGATGTTTCGGATTTGATTTAATTTCGTTACTATTGGAGCATGGGTTAAAAAAACGATAAGGTACCCTAATGAAGCTGTGTATAGTTTTTATGTATTTTATAGCACTAGTCTTTAAAGCGCGCTTTTGCACAATTCATGTATTTACTGGCGATGAAAATTAATTCAAATTGAGGACCTGACGCGCTTAAGTCAATAAATAAAATCATAAGTTTTTCACATATATACACAAATAAATGTTTGGTTTTTGCGCAAAGTTGGAACACTATCTGATTTTGAAATATGGGCTTTAAAACCGATACGATAACATAACTTCATTATGGGTAAGCTGTGTTTAGTTTTTATATTTTGTACAGCACTAGCCATGCAAATCGCGCTATATCACACATAAAAGCTGTTTGCTTTGCAACTGGCACCAGCTGTTTAGGATAATCAAATATTTTACTTCACAATAATAAAATTAATTCATACTGCTGTGCAATGAATAAAATACCGTCTTCATATTTTTTATTCTAAGCCACTTTAGAACTAAATCCAACAATTTTGAATGCGGATACGTTGGTGATGTTTCGGATTTGATTTAATTTCGTTACTATTGGAGCATGGGTTAAAAAAACGATAAGGTACCCTAATGAAGCTGTGTATAGTTTTTATGTATTTTATAGCACTAGTCTTTAAAGCGCGCTTTTGCACAATTCATGTATTTACTGGCGATGAAAATTAATTCAAATTGAGGACCTGACGCGCTTAAGTCAATAAATAAAATCATAAGTTTTTCACATATATACACAAATAAATGTTTGGTTTTTGCGCAAAGTTGGAACACTATCTGATTTTGAAATATGGGCTTTAAAACCGATACGATAACATAACTTCATTATGGGTAAGCTGTGTTTAGTTTTTATATTTTGTACAGCACTAGCCATGCAAATCGCGCTATATCACACATAAAAGCTGTTTGCTTTGCAACTGGCACCAGCTGTTTAGGATAATCAAATATTTTACTTCACAATAATAAAATTAATTCATACTGCTGTGCAATGAATAAAATACCGTCTTCATATTTTTTATTCTAAGCCACTTTAGAACTAAATCCAACAATTTTGAATGCGGATACGTTGGTGATGTTTCGGATTTGATTTAATTTCGTTACTATTGGAGCATGGGTTAAAAAAACGATAAGGTACCCTAATGAAGCTGTGTATAGTTTTTATGTATTTTATAGCACTAGTCTTTAAAGCGCGCTTTTGCACAATTCATGTATTTACTGGCGATGAAAATTAATTCAAATTGAGGACCTGACGCGCTTAAGTCAATAAATAAAATCATAAGTTTTTCACATATATACACAAATAAATGTTTGGTTTTTGCGCAAAGTTGGAACACTATCTGATTTTGAAATTGTATGGCAACCTTGCCGTTTGTCCGCCAAATTATTGCAACTTTTTGCGCAGGATTTGCGCAGTAGTTTGATAAAAGTAGCGATGCAGCGCGTAAGTAAACAATTATTTAATAAACATTACATTACTTAGCACTTCTCTTTGTTCAGGGCATTGACTCGTTTTTCAAGCGACTTCCCAGCAATAACAAAAAGAGCGACGAAGATGCAAGTCCGGCGCCAAAGAAGCGGAAAGCACGCGTTATTTCTAGTGATGAAGACGAAATAGCAGAGAGTCCCCAGGTTAATAAAACTGGAAAGGATCACAAGAAATTGCGCAGAGCTCTGGATGACACACCATCGCCCAACAAAGCGCCAACCAAGAAGCCGTCATTATCAAAGCTGAAAAATGCGGTGCCCACTAAAAGGGCACTCCAAAAGGTAGATCCTAGTGCCCTGTTTGGTGGTGAAACGAAGCGGATTGAAGCCCAAAAGCCGCCACGGCCTAAAGACAAGAGTATTATAGAGCTGGAAGATGAGGAAATCGATCAAAGCTTGATGGAAGTGGATTTGGATGAGAGCGTCAAGGCAGCAGAGTCGCATCAACAGCCGCCTGCAATAGAAATAAGCAAGTCACTATCGCCTCCGCCACCCATTAAGCGGGCCAAACGTGCCACTCCCAGCCCGGAGCCACCAAAAGCCAAGGCAGCAGGTCGCACACCCAAATCAGAGAAACCCAAGACGCCCAAAGCAAGGGCCCGAGCTTCCAATGGGCATGCTGACCTGGATACGAGCGTGCTGAGCGATGAGGAACGACACGAACGCAAACGCATGACAGCCGTGCTATATCAAAAGTATAAGAACCGTGCCAGTTGCCTTAATCCTGGCTGCAAGGAGATACCAAAAGGGACCCCCGATTGCCTTAAAGGCTACACGTTTCTCGTCACAGGCATACTAGAGTCCATGGAGCGGGGGGAGGCTGAGTCTGTTATCAAAGAATACGGTGGCCGTGTAATGACGGTGGTTGGCAAAAAACTTAATTATTTAGTCGTGGGCGAGGAAGCGGGTCCAAAGAAATTGGCGCAGGCAGATGAGTTCAATGTAACTGTGCTGAGTGAGGATGGGCTATTCGATTTGATACGCGAGCGCTCGGGTTTGACAAATGGCAGCAAGAATGGTGAAAAGTCGATCAAGAAGGAAAAGGAGGAGTCTAGCAACAAGCTCAAGGTTAAACAAGAAAAGAGCGAGTCAATGAAGAGTCCCAGGGACAAAAAAGATAAACAGAAAGAGCACAGCCCACCCAAAGCTGAGCTTAAAGTAAAGAAAGAAAAGCGAGATTCAAGCAAGAGTCCCAGAGTCCCGGACATTAAAGAGAAGCACAGCGACACACACATCTCACCCAAAAAGGAGCTTAAAGTGGAGCCTAAAAAAGACCCTCAACGCCTACCAAGCAATAATGCCACAAATGCGCAAACCACAGCTGACAAGCTGGCCGCCACAGCCTGGGTTGACAAATACAAACCGGCCTCGACTAAAGAGATTGTCGGACAAGCCGGAGCTGCTAGCAACGTAAATAAGTAAGTAGAGGCTTCGAACCCATCTAAGGGAATTTCAAATATTTATTTTGCATTTTCCTCCCTTCACAACAGACTCTTGAATTGGCTGACCAAATGGTATGTAAATCACGATGGCAAGAAGAAACTACAGCGTCCAAATCCTTGGGCAAAAAACGACGATGGAAGCTTTTACAAGGCTGCACTGCTGTCGGGTCCACCGGGCATTGGAAAAACAACCACGGCGACCCTAGTGTGCAAGGAACTCGGCTTCGATACAGTCGAATTCAATGCCTCCGATACGCGTAGCAAGAAACTGCTGAAAGAGGAAGTTTCCAGCTTGCTTTCGAACAAATCACTGTATGGTTTCGTGAATGGCAGATCGCAGGCTGTTTCCAAGAAACATGTGCTCCTCATGGACGAAGTGGATGGCATGGCTGGCAATGAGGATCGTGGTGGCATGCAGGAGCTAATAGCACTGATCAAGGATAGCTCAGTGCCCATTATTTGCATGTGTAATGATCGTAATCATCCGAAAATACGCTCCTTGGTCAACTATTGCTATGACCTGCGCTTCCAAAGACCACGCCTCGAACAGATCAAAGGACGCATTATGATGATTTGCTGTCGAGAACAAGTAAAGATGTCACCGGCTAAGGTGGAAGAGATCATTGCAGCCACCAACAACGATATTAGACAATCCATCAATCACATAGCGCTGCTCAGCGCTGGTGAGAAGCTGGACTTAATGTCAAAGTCGCAGCCCACCGACGACAAGATTGCTCAAAAGGATATTAAGCTCGGACCTTGGGATGTGGTGCGCAAGGTGTTCAGCGCCGAAGATCACAAGCATATGTCTTTATACGACAAGTGTGATCTCTTCTTTCACGATTACAGCATGGCGCCCTTATTTGTGCAGCAAAACTATCTACAAGTGACGCCCCAAGGCCCACGGTGAGTGATTAATTATAATTAAGGCAGCATTATAGATCAGTTTATATATTTATTGCATTTATTTTTTGAATAAAAATACTTACAAACGGGCGCTTCTTACTCATACAGAAGAGTTAACATTCAAGAATATTTATAAGTACTTCGTAGATAGAGGTTTATTTCTGGAACTGATTTGACTTCACACTCTATTCACAGCAAGGACATCTTATCGAAGGTTGCGGCAACTGCAGAAGCATTAAGTCTAGGCGATTTGGTAGATCGGTGTATTCGCGGCTCATCCGCCTGGAGCCTGTTGCCCACCCAGGCGGTCTTCAGCTCCCTGCTGCCTGGCGAATATATGTGCGGACACTTTACGGGCCAGATTAACTTCCCCGGCTGGCTGGGCAAAAATTCGAGGTCCAATAAACGTTCGCGTTTGGCCCAGGAACTGCACGATCACACACGCATCCGCACCTCCGGATCAAGGCAGTCGATGCGATTGGACTATGCGCCCTACCTGCTATCGAACATTGTGCGTCCTATGGCAACTTATGGACAGGAGGGTGTTGCGGCAGCATTGGATGTCATGAAGGACTATCACTTGCTGCGCGAGGACCTGGATTCGTTGATAGAATTGACGACCTGGCCGGGCAAAAAGTCACCCATGGATGCAGTGGATGGGCGTGTGAAGGCAGCACTCACGCGATCCTACAACAAGGAAGTCTTGGCCTATTCCTATTCTGTGCAGACTAACATTAAGAAAAAGCGCGCCGAGGCAGTTGCTGATGAAGAGGGGATGTTGGACATGGAGGGTGTCGACGAGGATGGCGGCACTGTTGGCGCTGTTGACTCTGATGATGAGGATAACGATGATTTGGAACTGGATGGCCTGATAAAGGCAAAAAAGAAACCACCCGCCAGCACTTCAAAGGCAAGCACTTCCAAAGCGAGCACATCCAAAAAGCCAAGTGCCGCAGCGAGCAAGCCAAAAGCCAAGGCAAAGAAATAAATATGTAAATGGCACTTATAGGGTATTAGTAACTAAACTATTATTGTACCCAGTAAAGTCAACTATTTTTTTTTTTGCATGTATGCCATAATCTACATTTGTATTATCTACATTCTCATTGTTTTTTTGCTTGCTTTAAATTCTATGCAGTACAAGAATAAAGCATGATTTCATGTTGAAATACTATTTGTTCACTGTATTTTTATGCTACGCACTTTGAAACTTTGTATGCCAATTTAAAATCTTGTTTAAACGGAAAACGACACTGCGTACTCGACAATTGGGTGCACTGTTTCTCTTTTTTAGGGTAGTACTTTGTTTTTGGCATTTTTTAGGGTCCGAGCATTTGAAAGATATCGATGCTTGAATGAGCAACGATACTTTGTATGTATCGAGAGAACAGCTGTCACTTGTCAAAAGGTAAAATGGCGTAGTCGCAAACGGTCGAGCTGACAGTCTAGTGGATTTTAAAATGCAATATAATTGCATTCCGAGCGCGTTAAAAAACATCAACCAATCGCAAAAATGTGCGCGCAACTCTGACGTACAATTTTGAATAAGCAAATTGTGTGTGCGTATTGTTTTTGTGTATTTAATTATTAATTACATGATGCTTTTCTGCATCATTTATCACGGGCAACTTTTTGCACAGTGTGTGTCCGTGTGAGCGCCCTTCTGCCAAGTGCGTGCGTGTGTGTGTATGTGTGCGTGTGTAAAGGGCGCAGTAGCAGCAGCGAGAAAACACCCAGTTTTATGTGCGCGTGTGTATGTGTGTGTATTATAAATTTTGCGTTATTCAATTAAATTGAAATTAATTGCTGTTCAAGCGCGTGAAGCGAATTTAACCAACGGGTTCTTCGTAAAAAGATAACGATAACGCAGCAGAAACAATAGCGGAGATTCCAAAAGGCACGCAAAATTCCAGCACACACCCAGCTCCCCCGCCCACGTACAACAGCAGCAAGTTTTGCCCGCGCACATCCCATACCAATACACAGGCAAGTGTAGACTTTGACAACAACAAACGGGGTGGCGCTCACGAGGCTGAGGTTGAGTAGGCCCGTGAAGCAGCAACCCTCACATTGTATTGCTGGTTCTAGTGCTGTTGCTGCTGCTGCTTTTGTTTTTGTTGCTGTTGTTGTGTTAGGCACAAGGACGTCTTGTATACACACACATATATACATGCGCAGCAGCAGCCTGTTTTGAATTTATCAAGCGAAAGCGCTGCTGAGCTTGTTAAAAGCAGCACGCTGGCTTACGCATCATCACCTTCACACCCATACATACTTATACCGTATAGTTACGACAATTACAGTTAGAAGCTTTGGTCTGTTTGTTGTTACTGTTGTCGCTGAGCACGTAAGGCAGAGTAAACATTTTTCTTTAATTTCCAAAACACTTGTCGCCCCTGTTTTCGCCTTGATTTATTTTTATGATATCCTACACAACATCCTTTTTTATACCCTTTGTTCGAAGCAACGTGATTACAAACCATATATCGGTTCATTACTAGAAATTAGCGCAAACTCAGTTGTATTATAACTTTTTCTATTCAATAATTTAGAATCTTATACTTACATATGTATGTATGTATCTTTATCAAAATGTATACCTATAGGTTTTTTTCTTACTCTGCAGTTTTATCAAGGAATGGCCATAGAAACGATTGCTGCAAAAAAGCTTATTATAGTTAAACGACTGTGGCAGAAAAAGCGGCGGGTGCAGGGTATACAAAAGTCAGGCTAACGCGACTTAAACGTTCTACTCGTTTTTATTTTCTGTATATCCTACGCAACACCCCTTCTTTTCTTCGTTTTTTTTTGGCAACACATGTTTACGTTTTATTTTCATTCATTTGATCGTATTTGTGCGTGTGCATGTGCTTGTGTGTGTTTTCCTTTCTCGCCTTACAGTTGCTGCTCTACTAACGGTCGTTGTTGTTGTCGCTGCTCTTATCGGTTTTACATTTTGATGCACAAATGGGTTAAATTCAGGTCATTGCATTCGTTTGAGTTGTGTCTTCTTCCTACGCTTTGAGCTCTTGCGTTTGCTTGTGAGTGTGTGTGCTTTGCGATTGTTGACTTTTCAATACTTTTTTCGATTTCATTTTGAATCAATGCTGTCAATTTTATGGCATTTGTAAAGGAAATCGAATTAAACGGCTCGCTGAAAATGATGAAAAGAACAAAAACGATAGAAATATGACGATGTAACTTAGCTATGCACTTTGTTTTTTAACAAAAGAAGCAGATACATACATATATGCATGTACATACATTATATAAGTAGGAAAGGATTTTTTACAGCCTTTAATAGAGCTTTATAGCCTTCAGAACTAGAATTGAATTCAGAACGAGAATTGTTCCTGTTAGAAAAAACATAGTCTTATTAGGACTGAAAAATCAACTAAATTACATGGAAAACCCTCAGTAGTGTTTATATCATCAAATAGCACATATTATTTTAATTATCTTGATGATAATGGCTATCAGATTATAATTATATAGAAAAGTGAGAGAACAAACGATTTTTGCATACAAAGTAGTACGAAATATTCCATATTTTTATACTACCATTCATAAACCTAAAATGTATTGTTTTTGAAATGCATATTTAACACTCAATACAAGTATACATATTTGCATTGATGAAGCCCTCTTTTTCAAATAACCTGATCCACTAAACTCAATGGAAAATTTTAAATTGCACCCCGTCCGTTCCGACGACAATAGATTGATATAATTAATGTATATACATATATCTTGAAGTATACGCCCATAAGCTTGAGTTCTCAATAGTCTACAACTTCAATAAAAATGTTTTTTAATAAATTATGGCAATTTATGTGCTTTAGATATAATAGTATCTGTGCAATACAGATTGCGGACTGCGCAAAACAATTTGCGTTGCTATAAAAAGCTGAAGTGGTCACCATCAACGCAATCGCATTGTAATGCGCTCTACGCCATGGCAACCTTGCCGCATGCAACTTGACTGACATCTCAACAAGCGCCACCTCCACTTGACCACTTAGTGAAAGGGCCGAGAACTGAGGGCTGGGGCTTGCGGTTTGGCCAGTACAGAATTGAACTCAAGTGTTGGTTGCTAGGCCACATACTACAGTATCGAATCAAATCTACACACACTGGGGCTGTAAAGAATTTGTCGTTCATAATGTTATGCCTATTAAAACGAAAATAGTAGTCTGCGCACAAATTTAGAACGAAAACCTGTTTGACATCCCATGTGGTATTAAAAAAAAAAAGCTTAGAATTAAACGAAAAGCTTTTTGATTGTCCACTCGACGAGGCATTTTAGTTGTCTACAGCAATTTTCAATTAGGCTACGGGCAAAACAATTTAAAAAGAAAAATCACAATCAATGAACGCACAACTTAAATACAACGACAGGCAGCCCTGCTTCTTCACTTCCCTTCCCTCTCGGTACGGTATGCCTCGTTGCTTTTAAAAAAGGCAACACAGAAAGCCAGCAAAGCGTATTGAGCGTGCAAATCTCGCTATATAATACAGATATGCTATATAAAGAAAAGCCAATAGTAACTTAATTTGTTTGGTCTCTGACGCTGTCAACATTGTTTGTATCTGTGAGATACTTTTGCTACAGCTTGCACAAGAACAGCAGCGATGACTACGACAACGATTACGATTCTGCGACTGTTCATAGAATGTTGACCCATTTCATGTGCACGATTAACTCGTTCTCTTTTTGGTCAACAAGCTAGCCAAGTTTCTAAGCCAACTGTCTGTCTGTGCTCATGCTTTTGTATATCCGTGTGTATAGTATATGTTTGAATGCTTTTTGGCAAGCCTTGCTGCGAGGGCTGCCTAGAAACTTTTTAAAAGAACACGTCCATTGCCAAAAGAGATTATCTCGCTTTTGAAAATGTGTTATATTTTAGGGAAATCCCGAAAAATCGCATTTACCGGCGGATACGGATGATTTTATATTTACTATGGATTTTTAAAAAGAATTAATAGTATAATGGAGCTTTATTCTAGAAATAGTTAATGGAGAAGGATAACTCTGATCAATGATTTATAGCCATAATTCCTTTGAATTAGGAAGTAATTGTAGGCATGTTAGGCATTCAATATCAATGCAAGCTGCTTATTAATTTGTTTATTTTTAAATTTTAATATTCAACAACTCGTCAATTTAGACTCGCTTGACATTTTCATATTTGCTGCTTTGCTCCGCTTTAATAAATAATTCCACATAATCGCGCAAAAATGTATTTCTAATACGCCCCATATACTGAAAAATATGGCGAAATAGATACAAAATTTATTAAAAGAATTTTGAAGACGGTTCGCGGCTTCAAATTATTTGCCAGCGATGATGTCAACCGGTTGAAAGGGTCCCAAAGCTATCGTGGAAAAAATTGGTTGTACCGCTTTTGTTGCTGACAAGCAAGTGTGTTGTGCGCTTATCGCACACATACATGCAACGAGCACACACATGCTGGAGCAAAACACATTCCAGTGATAACAAAATGCGCTTTGGGGCTGTTAGGGGAACTCCTACGTAGCTACGTACACTGGAAAAAATTAGTTAAAAACTATATTTATATGCCAAACAAAAGAGTCAATTTATAATAAATGTTTTCTCGTTTATTTCGAATGAATTCTCATATTCCAACTTCCATCAATTTATATTTTTAAGAAGCTTATTGTTTTTTATTTAAAAAAAAATCAGCTCATTTTTGAGAGTGTACTTTATATGGCATTGCCTCTTCTTCACCTAACTCTGTATCTATTTTTTGATGTATTGTCGGTGGCAGTTGTGCGCTATAAAACGGGGTGTAGTTGAATTGTTGTTGTTGCTGCTGTTGCTTCAAGCTTAATATTGAAAACAGCTATATAAAATATACAATCAAGCCATGTGAAAGGTGTGTGTGTGTGTGTGTGTGTGTGTGTAACTTGAACAGCAACAATTCCGCGTTTTATCTATCAATATTTTATCTCATATTGACAAGTTTTCTGCACTGTGATAAGAAAAAGAAAATTTGCTGCTGCCAACAGCAAAATATCTTTAGATATAGACATGAATGTAATGCTTGTTTGTTGGGAATGCAAATGCCAAAAGTTACATAAAAAATTTATATCTCTTTGTGTTCTACAACAAAGACAGCTGCTGAAGCAATAATTTACGTGCAGAACGCTATTCTGTGATAAGCGTGATAAGATAAGGAAACACACAATTCAGTGCAGCTGCTCTTTGAGTTCACACAATGCAAATAGAAACAAGAGAGAACGCTACAGTCGATCAAGCCCGACAGTGTAATACCCTGTACCCAGGTAAACTTCCGTCACTGAGTTATATGCGCCCATAGCAGCAGCATAAAGAGGAAGAAGAAGAGCGAACTTGTTGCTGCAGTTTGGGGGGGTTGTACTGGTGAGAATTTGTTTTGCTAATAACTTTTCTTAGAATTGACCGAATTTTATAAAATTTTAAACAACAGTAGATAATTGTATAGAAATTATGTGTGCAAAGTTTGGTTTAGGTAGCATTTGAAATGTGGACGCGGGGGAAGGGGGGGGGAAATTAAAA